ACAGAACATCTCCAAACATAAATATCAGAACCGAGAGACATTCCTTTCAGATGTCAGTCTCATCCACACCAACAGCATCAAGTATAATGGTAACTTTATACCTGTAATGCTTTTATGGATAATTTTACCTCAGCATTTAATTTCTCTTAAAAGAAGTTTGACTAACTTGACTATCTTGTGTGTCTTTGACAGGTTCAGACAGTCCTTACACCAAGACAGCTCTCGAGATTGTTAATGTGTGCAAGCAGACTTTGGCAGAGGTGTGTAGAAGATTCTTAGGGTGTTTTCACACCTGTAGTTTGTTTATACTGGATTGAATCAGTTGATGAGTTTGTCAATTTGTAGCTGTTCACACTGAGAAAAATTCAGATGAACTCCAAGCAAACTAAAATGTGTCACTACAAACCACATGACAATTTTCAGTCTGCTTTATGGCCAAATGTGTCTGGGCTGGGAGGACGTTTATCCAGGTGCTGTGTCATTTCGCAGCTAGTTGCTAGGCCATACAGTCTTTCGCACATCTATAGCAGCCCAGAATACAAAGCATACATGGCTACAGGAAGTGTTTTTTTAGCTCAACTTTTGCAACGTGCACCTTGTAATTGGGTGAGATTGAGGTTGCCAAACAAGCTTCTTGGGGGGAGGGGGGGAGGGGGGGGTGTTTTGGTCCACACCCAAGTGCAATTACTGTGTTCACATCTGCACAATCAAACTGCACCAAAGTGGAAAACAAACCAGTTTAATTTAAACTAGCTAAACACTACAGGTGTGAAAACACGCTTACGTTGCCCTTTTGAAGTTAAATAAGGCTGAGTTTGATTGAGCAGTTTCACAGCAAAGTTAGGAGCAAATCAAAGGCAGTTTGACTCGTAGTTTTAAAAATGTTGCATTGACACAGAGTGGAAATGTGAAACCCAGGTGTGTAAAATCAGACTGTGAAATATTTGGAATAATTACAGAATTGTGTTCCTTGTAATGTATTTTTAACACTTGTATTTTTAACACATCTAAACAAGAAAAACAAACAAACAACCGCTTTAGAAATAGTCACCAATTATTGTGTTTGCAGTATGATGAGCACTTGACTCAATTGGAGAAAGACATCTCTACTGCTAAAGAGGCAGCTCTAGATGCAGCAGACCTAGAGAGTCTGGAGCCAATGACGCCTGGGCCATACACACCTCAGGTAAGACAGCATCCAGGTTCTAGGTTCTTTAGGCCAAACCAAGTACTCTAAACTTTTGTGCGTGCAGTAGCTTCCTTGCCACTCCTTGTATTGCTTCTCCTTCACTTGTCCTTTGCACTAACTCTCCTTTCCAGACTTTCACATTTCATTTGTACAATCTAGTTTCTTTACCGTAGTGTCTTCTTTTTCCCAACCTGTTCTTCTCCTTCGTTCCTGCCCTCTTTGCCGTGTCTCTTTGTCCGTGTCTCTGTGCGGTGTTGGCCAGCCTGCTGATTTGTTTGACAGCGGGGCTTCGGGGAGTCTGCCCAGAGAGCCCAGCAGCCTTTTCTCTGAAGGACCTCTAGTGGGTGGTCCAGAAAAGAGAGGGGGGCAGGTATGGAGAGACAGAAATAAGTCTTGCAGCCACATGCCCACCCCTCTTGTATCTATCCTCAAAGCATCCCGCTTCAGTAGGCATTTCTGTTGTACCACCTTCCACACAGGTGACAGTTTTTTTTCCACCCTTGATTTGTTACCTGTCTGTGTAGCTGTTTTTACTCAAGTACTGCAGACCTGTCTGATTGAGGCAAAGGGGCAAATTCATACTGCACTTTGACCTGATTCTGCAGACATTGTCCAGAGATCACATGTGAAAACGTCAACAGTAAACACCACAGTAAACAGTGACAGGCCATCTTTTAGACAAGTTTGTTTCCTGACCCTTTTCATTCTACCTCTCAGGGACGGCACAGCAGAAGACCAGGGGAAGAAGAGTCTGATGTGGATATTGAAGGCTTTGATGAGGATGATGATGGCAAACCCAAGACTCCTGCTCCTGTAAGAAATACAGATTTACTGATACTGAGCACATACACACAGATGTAAACTGCCTCCGATCTTATTTATCTCATGTTTTTGTGACCTGTGTCTGAAGGCAGAGGATGCAGAAGGAGATCAGGAGTACGAGGACGATGACGAGGAGTTGTTGCTACCTCCTCGCAGGCGGGTGCATGACCAGGATGACGAGGAGGAAGAGGAGGAGGAAGAGGAGGGCGACGGAAGATCTAATCGCCCAGCTCAAGCTAGCGTGCTCTATCAAGATCTGCTCATGTCGGATGTAGAGGATGATGCCAGCGAAGAGGAGGGTGACAACCCGTTCTCTTGTAGGTTCACAATTATTCTCCAACGTTCAGAATCTAAATAGCAAAATCTGGTGGACACAGAATGTCTTTTCTCTTGTAAAATGTCCTGATGAAATGCGTCTCACCCTCCAGCCATACAACTATCGGAGAGCGGCAGTGACTCGGACAGAGAGGTTGATGTGCGACCTGCGCCTCCACGGAGAACTCAGGAGACGGCCCGCATGGGCATGGAGCAGGACGAAAGTATGATGTCATACGAAGGGGATGGGCCTGATGGGCCACACATGGAAGACAGCAATGTCAGGTACAGCAGACCAACTGACCACAGTGAAAGCATAAGAATGTAAATGATGGCAGTCTCCTTATCACAAAAGTGCATCTGGAAATGAGGATTTTAATGAGGGGAAAAATTACATTTAAAGCTTAATTTTCATTGTCATGAAGTATTTAAATAGTTTTATCGTATGCATATCTGTACCACTGAATCATTCCATGTCCTGATGTTATTTTAAAATCTCTTTCCTTGGTTTTCATCTCAGCTACGGCAGCTACGAGGAGACGGAGAGTCAGAGTCAGATGCAGCCATCTAGTTTGGGAAATGGAGAAGAATACGGCATCAGCGAGGAGGAGGAAGACGAAGAAGACGAGGCACGGAGGAGAGGCCCAGCTGTGCTCTCTCAGGTCCAGCTCAGCGAAGATGAAGAGAGCGAAGAGTTCAGATCTATTGGGGGCGAGAGCGACTTGGACTCTGACAATTAGCTTCTTTTGATTTCTTCTTCTGCTTCTTTTGCTCCAGAATCACGAAAACTGAAACAGTTTTAAAAATGAGGAAATGAGATCTTAGGTAAATATGTGTACAGTGTTATTTTGTAAATGACTGTGTTATACCAATTGTAGAAAAAAAACCTGCACCTTGTAAATTTCAGTTTCTTTTTATATATGGTTCCTTTGTTTTATCATGTTTTGCTTCAGTTAAATGTTATGGAAGCTTCTTTCTATCACTCAAAAAACAAACATTTTTTGCCACCTCTCAGTCAAAATTTAGAGTTACTTTAGAGAGTTGACTTAATCAGAGGTTTGAGTTAATATGCGATAATAATCCATTTTGAGGTCAACCAAAACATTTTGCCAAGCAAAAAGTGTTTGGGGTTTCTTTCAGTTGGTGGGGAAGAGCTTCCACAATATCCCAAATTCACAATAAAGGAAGAAAAAAATGAAGACACAATTTTCTTTTTTTTTTCTAATACTAAATAAGCTGCAGCTCCTCTTTCTCAGTTTTGCTTATTGAATGAACATAATTCCAGTAAAAAGTGATTGAGAGAGATTCAGATCCATGCAGTTCAACTTCCCTTTTGATATGTTAATATTTAACTCGTGTTAATATTTGTCCAATCCACCAGTCATTTATCATCAAACATAAAGTAAAAGCGATGGAAAGTAATCATTGAGGTGGAATATGACAGGACTTTAATGACTGTGGTTACAGTTGGAATTTTTTTTTAGATATTTCGACACACCAACAAAAAACAATTATAAATAAAACAAGCGCAAGCTGATCAAATAATTACACTTCTGTATGCATTTCATTTTTCTCAACTATGTGGTGTTCTTATAGTGCCTGACATTTAGTGACACTAAAGCTGCTGGAGCTGCTGTTAAGTGAATTCATGAACAAGGTCATAAACACAGTGAACAGCAGAGGGTACTCCAGCACACACTGAATGTCAGGTTTCACTGTGCATTATCTCAGCTACTATAACCCACTGTCATTTATTTACTATTACTATAATAAACATCTGCACAGTGGCTTTTGTCTCCTATTTTAATTGAAAATGAGACATTATTAATAAAAAGAAAGGTCAATGTAAAGTCCACTGGGCCCGAGCTGACATATAGGGACATAAAATGGAGAAATACACCATCCCCTACAAATAACTCAAAGATAATTCCATGGCAAGTGGACAAGCTGGTATTTGGGTAAGGATTCGGGTTACTCTGAAAAATCTAGGAGAAATATGTCAATTGGGTTAAAATAAATCATGCTCAGCGATACAAAAACATTAGCAAACAAAAATGACCTCTGAAGTAGTGAGCAACAATGAAAAGCTAGGAAGAAGCTGCACCCACCCACATCTCTGTTTCCTGGAAACGCTTTGTGTGTGATGTCAGATTGTTTAACAACTCCAACTACTACGTAAAGGATACCCGTTTACTGTTTCGTACTTGACGATGCCAGACAGCACACTTCCTGTTGCAACAGCTCTGCAGAGAGCTGCTCATTCAGCTCATCGACCACACTGATGTCTATATTCATACTTGTAATCTATGCATGGAACGTAGTTTGTGCACATGAGCATGCTTGCAAAGCCACTGATAATTCAAATCAAATCAAATCACTTTTATTGTCACATCACATGTGCAGGTACACTGGTACAGTACATGCGAGTGAAATTCTTGCGTGCGAGCTTCACAAACAACAGAGTTGTGCAAAAATACAATAACATAAAACAAGCAAAAATATAAGAATGGCTAAATTTGAGACTAATAAATATATGTACAATATATAATAGTATATGCATTACTGGATGTGTATACTAAATATGTTTTTCTATGTGTGTGTGTGTGTGTGTGTGTGTATACATATTTTACAAATTAAATAGAGTAAGCAATAAAATATATAAAATATACAGAGGTTTGTAGTTGGATATTGTGCAAAACAGTGGCATTAATGTACAGTATGTAGTGCATAATGTTGAAGTTCCAGTAGTGGAGGTGAGGTGTCTATGAAGTGTACAACCTACTGGCTCTACTGTCAGTATTTCTAAGATGTCTCATATGGGTGAATTTATAGCATATCAGTGCTCCTTACTTTTCTACATTCCTGTGACTTGAACACAAAACTTCTACAATAATCCACATGATTTAGAGCACTCTGGTTGTGACTGCCTGCCATTTACCAAGAATCTCTTACTGAGAAAGATGAACCAGATCCTTGCACATGCAACTGAAAAAGCATATTTTTGCCCTGAGCAGCATACCACAAAGGATTCTAATATAGGCCCAAATTCTGTCACAATCTAAATGTATGCATGAGATTGCAGAGGCTTATCAACCACAGAAGTAAATAATTACATTGCATCACATAATTATTATTTTATCCCAGGTAAACCCACAGGGTAAATCTTTTATCTCTGAACAGGCAAATTTCTGCCCCAAGCTACAGTGGTTAGCCTCTCAGGTGAGGTAAAAACACGTCTGTGGACAGACAAGCATCCTTTAGCAGACTGAGGAATCCGGCAGGGGCTGAGCGAGTGAGACCTGTTCATCTTCTTCACGGCCGCTGTCCGGACTGATGAGCTTTTCATCGACTGCAACAAGCTGCCAGAGTTCAATGAAGCTGGGGAAAGTGATGGCAACAAGCAACTTAAACCCTCCCCCTTGGCAGATGACAGATCTGGGAAAGAATGAATTAAAAAATAAGAAAATGGCTCACATGTAGTCATTAAGATGCAGAGTTTCATATTTTCTGGTTAAGAAACAAAAACAAATAACTGATCTAAACCTGATGGGAGGTAAGCGGTTTGGTCAGCAGGTTGGCAGTCATCGATGTCTAAACTTCGGCTGTTCCTAACAGCCTGGAGGGAGCGGAGGCTGGTACGCAGGGGCGACCTCGTCCTGCCTGGTGCTGCTGCTGCTGCAAAAAACACACTGAGCTCACACTGAGGTAGTAAAACTTCTAGCATCTGCTCATGTTTTGGAGCTATTTTACAAAAAAAGCTATTTTCTCAAATGAAATGTGGAAAATGCACGACATGTACCATAAGAGAAAATCAAAAATAGGAGTGCTGCCTTGTGTTTTACTCCTTGTTATTTATTTTGTTTGTACCTCACTGTCAACCTATGAAAAGCTGTCTGATGAACAGAAAGCTCTCAGCTTCAAAAACTGTTGAGACCATGTCACAAAGAAATAAAAAGAAAGAAGATCCTATCAGTCGTCTACAATGAGTAAATCTCACTGTAATCCTTTCATAGCACAAGAAAATCAATCACTTACACTGACAGTATAAACATGCCTGACTTTGTGTACCTTGGTTCTGGGCGCGTTTAAGCAGCTTGAATTGGGTGACTTGTTGATGAAGTCTGGATGGTCTGGGACTGTGGCAGCACTCCTTAACTGCTGATATGGAAGAAGTTTCGTATTTATTTCCTGTAGTTGAGTAAGCAGTGTTTTCACCAGTGGTGTTAAACGAGGGTGGAAGCATCAATGGAGCCTCAGGGTTTCTCCTCTGTGAAGCAGTGGAAGGCATGGACACAAAGTCCTGCCTCAAACCTGAAAAATATAGACATGTTATTAACTCTCAATCAAACCTTTAAGTAGCATGCTATATCACTACAAATATTTTTTTTTCTATACTCACTGGCTTCCTGCAGTTGAGCCATGATGCGGACATCTTGTAGCCTGTAGCTCTTTGTTACGACATCGAGGGAGATGCTTGGCTCACTGTGACCTGTGATTAATAAATTCATAAATTGAAGACATGCACTTCAGTCTCTCAGTATTTAGGAGGAATACCTTTTTTGTTGTTGTTGTTGTTTCTACTTTTCTGTGTGCACAAAATCCTCAGGAAATCAGGAAGTAACAATGTGGCTGTAATTACTGCACCTCATGTATTGCATATACTGCTGAATGTTTGCAGCTTGTCAAATATACCCGAGTTACACTTGAGGAAGTTGTGCAAAAGATACCCAAACAACCAAAATGAGATGAGGAATAGATCGAAAATGACCATAAAGTCTTACAGAGCAATACCAAAGCATAGACCCAATATGCAATACAAACAAACCACAAATTATATATGCATGCTGTCTATTTGCTTTATGTCTTTGTGTCCTAATCCTCTGACAGATTTTTAAGCTTCATCATTTTTTCTTCCACCAGCATATTCATCGCTTTAAGTCAGTTAACTCTGAGCTGACATAAACACACATCTGCATGTGAATATCAAGAATCTGCAGCAGGGAAAGGGACAATATTTTGTCAACTGGAAGCTTCCAACTTTCTGTTTGTAGTTCATTCGTAGTCCGAGCGCTACTGACCAATCACAGTTGAGTAGGTAAGGCTACAAGTCAACAGTCCCCGTGGAGACCAAAAGAGGGATCACATTTCAACAAAATGCAATCTTTTGAACAATCTGCAACTAACTGCACATTTGTCATCTGATGACAAGCTCTTTTGTTTAATGCCTTTATTTTTGTTTTAAAATCTACCTTCACTGATGACCAGGACAGAAGAAAAAAAAACACAGTTGTCCCAAGAAGGTAAGTTAGCAGACTAGTTGATGGGTTACTAGGTTGTGTTTGCGCTTTTTTGTGCATGACCTGACACTGACACAACACAAGGCTGCACATGAAACAGATAGTTAACGAGCTAACACAACCGACATAAATTAAAGCTAACTTTATCCAAAGCTTATAAAAAAAACTACATCATGTGTAGCTGTGCTGGAGTGTAAAGGTCATCTGTGTGTGTAGAAAAGAATGTAAGATACTGACTCAGGTTTCATGGTGGAAGTTCAGACTTTTTAAAAAAGATATTACCTGAACTGTCAGGTGTATTCGCTGCTGCACTGGCAGACGTTTTATTCACAGAGGAGCCCACAGGGACACTGGCAGCATGATAGGAAACTGCAGGACGTTTGTGGAGCTCACGTCTTGATCCTGACAATACAAAAAGTGAATGCCATTAAAGGAATCCTCTTTTATATCAAGGATATTTGTAAGATAATGAGTGGGTGAGTGAGTCTGTGGCGCTCGCTTGCCTTGATCCAGCATTTTTAACAGTGCACGGCATGCAGCTTCCATCTCAGGGCTGGGATTATCGAGGACATGTCGACACCATTTGAAAGCAGATTCCTTTTTCTCTACAAACAAATGCTTCCTTGGAGACTCGTACAGCCTGTGAGGAATAAGACGTTACGACTATGTAAAGAAGAGATCTGTTCAGAAGAGCTTTTAATACTGAAGAGTGCTCAGATTGAACTGTCCTGAAAAGCAGCCACCTCAAAGTCTTTAACGTCTCTTTAGAAGTGCACAAATTCAGGTTCATGTCTCTGTCATAACTCAGACTAGAAACAAGCTAGATAAAATGAAATACTTCTACATCACAAGCTGCACTGTCAGAGAATATCAGTGTACATCTGATGGCATTTACCAGCTCTCCTCATCCTGCTCTTCATCCGCTATGTCAAGGATTTCCACCAGGTCCAAAGCAGTCTCTTCTTCCTGCAACTCTTCACTGTCCCAAGAGTGTTTTTCACAGCTATAATTGTGCAACATCCTGCTGGTGGCACAGTAAGGCAAGGGTGGATTGCACCCAGATTTCAAACTGTCCAGTCTTATTCTAGCATCCATAGCAAAAGACCCACTGCTACAGCTTTTCACTTTTGCCGGTTCAATATCGGCCCAGATGTTGCAGTATGCATCTGATTTACCCTGCGGCCACATACAGCTGCTTTTCAAATCACTAAAGAGAAAGTGGTGGTTCACACTTGTAGGTGGTAAATAGTATTGGCTCCAATCGCTCATCGTATGGTCCTGGAGTTCCATTTTCTGTGTGAAATCTTCAAATCTGCGTCTTTGAGCTCTCGTCCACTCTTACTCCTCCTTAATGAGGGTAGCTTCCAAACCGGGCTCTCACAACACCAGGCTAAAGGTTGCTTTAAACACAACTCTTTTAAAAAATTGTTCTACACATACAGCAACTGTAGCTTGACTTTACCTTCTGCTGACCCAGATTTATTGAGTGGAGCTGTTAAGTATAGACACGCAACAGATTGGATGGATTTAGGAAAGCATCACGAGCTTATGTGGATTAGAATCCACGAGTTGGCATTCAGGATCACACCATCAAGACTTACATGTGCGAGCAAAAAGATGCTGTAACTATTTCTGTGATTTCTCAGATGAGCGCAACACTACTTCACAGGAAAGATGTCCCCTCCGTGTGGCCATTACAGCTGTATATACTGTGCTGTTGCTACTGCTGAATGTTTGCAGTTAACAGCTGATCAAATGTACCTGAGTCACGGAAGAGAAAGTTGTGCTGAAAAGGATGGTCAGATGCTCTCTTTTGTGCAGACAGATTAATAAGAAGGTTTGGGGTTTCCCTTACAACCATGTGAAGATCAATAACTCTCACTTACACTTGTGCATTTTTTATGCAGTATGTTTGCAGGAGGCTAAGCCTTTTAGGAACATAAACCAACATCTAACTTTTTTTTAAAAGAAGCAATAATGCAAATTTAGTAGCTCCACAACATCTGCCCTATAATAAATTTAACTAATGATGCTAGTATTTAAATAAAAAAAGACAAGAAAACAAAA